GGGAAATGCAAATCAAAACTACATTGAGATACCACCTCACCCCAGTTAGACTGGCTGTAATCAAAAAGACAATGAATAACAAATACTGGCTACGGTGTAGAGAGAAGGGAACGCTCCTCCACTGCTGGTGGGACTGTAAATTAGCACAGCTGTTATGGAAAGCAGTATGGAGGTTTCTCAAACAACTACAGATAGATCTTGACAGCTATCTGACATTGGACAAATGGAACAAAAATCTATATTGCGGAAAAGACTGCCTCTTCAACAAGTGTGCTGGGAAACTGGATATCCATATGCAGAAGAATGAAACTAGTTATGCATCTCTCACCATACAGTAAAATTAACTTAAAATGAATTAACAACTTAAGTATAAGACCTGAAACTATAATATTACTAAGGGAAAATATAGGTGAAACACTTCAGGAACTAGGTTTGAGCACAGACTTTATGAACATGAACCAGAAAGCACAAGCAGCAAAAGAAAAAATAAACAAATGAACTATATCAAACTAAAAAGCTTCTGCACAGCAAAGGAAACAATCAACAGAGTAAAAAGACAACCTACAGAGTGGGAGAAAATTTTTGCTAACTATGCCTCTGAAAAGGGATTAATATCCATGATATACAAGGAACTCAAGCAATTACACTGTAAAAAAAAACAAATAACCCAATGAAAAACTGGGCAAAGGAAGTGAATAGACATTTTTCAAAGGAAGACATACAAATGGCCAACAGATACATGAAAAAAATGCTCAACATCACTAGTCATCAGGGAAATGCAAATCAAAACTACATTGAGATACCACCTCACCCCAGTTAGACTGGCTGTAATCAAAAAGACAATGAATAACAAATACTGGCTACGGTGTAGAGAGAAGGGAACGCTCCTCCACTGCTGGTGGGACTGTAAATTAGCACAGCTGTTATGGAAAGCAGTATGGAGGTTTCTCAAACAACTACAGATAGATCTTGCATATGATCCAGCAATCCCTCTTCTGGGTATATACCCAGAGGAATGGAAATCATCATGTCTAAGAGAAACCTGCACTCCAATGTTCATTACAGCTCTGTTTACAACAGCCAAGACATGGAACCAACCTAAATGTACATCGATGGATGACTGGATAAGGAAACTGGTATATATACACCATGGAATACTACTCTTCCATAAAAAAGAATGAAGTACTTCCGCTTGCAACAACATGGATGAGCCTGGAGAAACTTATGTTGAGTGAAATAAACAAAGCACAGAGGGATAAATATTGCATGTACTCACTCATACATGGGAGCTAAGAGAGAAAGAAGGAAGGAAAGAGAGACCACAGTGGTGTGTTGGACTTGCAGAGGGAGAGAACATTCTATGAGCTACAAAGTGGAGTCGGGGTGAAAGGGGGAGGGAGAGGGAGGTTGGATAATTGGGTGGTGGACAAGGGGTACAAATGCAATTTGCGGTAATTAGATATACAGCCAGTATGAATCTGGCCCCCACATAATGGGCATGAGGGGTGACAGTCAGCTTTGTAGCTCATGAATATTCATAACAAAAAAAAATGCTTGCTCGTGTATTTGTTCCGAGAAAAACAAACAAAAAAACTATACAGGATATTATTTTAAAACTGGTAAATATGGCCTGCATTTAGATAATGGTATTATCTCAACATTAAATGTCCTGAATTAGTAGTTTTATTGTGGTTGTTTAACAGAATGTCCTTGTCCTTAGAAGATGAGGGCATATGTATTTACACATGAAGTGTTAAGATATCTGTGGCTTGCTCTCAAATATTGCAGACAAAAAATAATCAGTGAAGCAAATGTGGTAAGATGTTGGCAACTGATTGACCTGAGTGGTTAATATGAGTGTACATAGTTCTTTTTTTTTTTTTTTCCTTTTTGTCTTTTTTCGTGTCCGGCAATGGATCACAACCCTCAGTGTCACGCCCGTACCGGACCGGGACCGGCAACGGGATCGCAAACCTCGGTGCTGCACCCACACCTCGCTCAGCCAGTGAGTGGGAACCGGTCTGTATGTGGGA